ATCACATGTCTATCCTTGAACCAATCACTGTGGTAAGATGGAATGCAGTGTACTGATTGGACAGCATAAGTTATCTACCTGCTTTTAGACATGGTGGTGGGATCAGCCCCATTATAGCTTGGGGGCTGGGAATGAGAGTGGGTTGGCTCCTCTGAAGAAAGATTATGTTATGGGAGGGCAATAATTCTAGCCTTTAGGAGGAAATTCTTCACTGGAAAAGTGCCTCACAAATAACAGGCACTCTGTAAATGATGCTTGAACGAATGAATGGAGAATAAGCTGACTCCCACCAGCCCAGTGTAGTAAGCACCCAGCTGGAAGTAGGACCACTGCAGCTCCCAATCCTGGGTGGATCCTGGTATCTCTCTGAGCTTCAGTCTGCTCATATGGGAAATGGGCATGGTGGCTGACACCGCACTCCTGGGCAGATTAAGTCCTGGCATCTCTAGTCCTCCACAGCTACCAAGCACTCTGACAGTGAGTGGTTGCTATTGGCTGTGGTTGTCGTTTATCTTTAGCAAAGGGAGGTGGCGCAGGGAACACTGGGCCCGTGCCAGGACGGGTATGCTGAGAAGTGATGTAGAGCTCAGGCTCTCTGAGATAGGCAGGCTGGGTTTGGATTCACCCTTCATCCTCCCATGTGCTATGTGACCTGAGGCATTTACTGTAACTCTCTGAGTCTGTTTTCTCATCTGTGAACTGGGAATGCTGGTATTTGTCTCTAAGGGTTGCGTTGAGGATGAAGTGAGAAATTTTGTTTAAGGCCTGTCCCAGCACGTAGTGAATGCTCAGACAGTGTTAACTGTTTTATAATCAGAATTATTACTTTCTCTGTGGCTTTCAGGTGATAAATTGCTGCTGTCACCTACACTGGCACTTGCCATCTACCTCTCCAAGGATTGGATTATGAGCTGCTGACCTTCAACACCCCCTGCAGGGAATTCAGAGTGGAGATCAGAAACAAGGCACTCTGTTCACTGGGAAAAACTGGCAGAACAGGTCTTCAGGTAGATGTTTTCAGGAGACAATTTTATGAGTAGTCTTGCATCTTCTCATACCTAGAAAAGCACTAAAATCCTTTATAGTGACATCAGTTTTTCATGACCAGCAGACATCTTCTGCAAAAAATATGTGCTTGATTGCACATACTCCTCTTTGACCAAAATCACATACATACTGACTTTCCCCCTGCCTCTTTGGAGCAGTCTTTCAGAGCTGTCTGAAATGCCGTCTCCTGGGCTATAGTCCTCATTTTGCCCCAAATAAAACTTAACTCACAACTCTCACATGCATTTTTTTCAGTTGACACTGCCTTAACCAGGCTTTTAGAGAATTTGATTTGGCCAGGTCACTTCATGTGCCATGATTGCTGCCAGCCCCTCTCTGGCAGGCTCTGGGTCCCTGTGAACTCAGAGAGAGGTTCCGGGGCGGGCATTCCTCAGTACTGATGTTGGCACCCAGCCTGAGGCTGCACCCTGTGGTCAGTGCTGCCTTTCAGGGTGGAGGGTAAGGCAGGTTTAATGCTCCTGGAAAACAGCCCCTGCCCGGTCCTCTTCTACCTGCAGGAGAGGAGTCCTTTAAAGGACACCCAGGAGAAGGTGACTGTGGCCTCCTTCACCAGCTCTCGGGAGTGGAAGACGGACAGGTGTAGGCAGCGTTTGCCAGCTTAGCCGCCCCTCGCTGCTGTGGCGGGGGACTCGGGGGCGCGGGCGCGGTGCTTGCCTCGGCCGCCCGGCTCTGGCCGCGGCTACTTGCTAAGCCCTCTCCTGTCTTTTCTGTAAGTGAGCAGAGTGGGCCTTAACTTTGCTTCTGGATCTGGACAGGAGGAGGAGCGTGAGTGCTGGACTGTGAAAGGATGCTTTCATGGTCTTCTAGTGGCACAGAAAAAATCAGCTTTACAAGAAAAGAAAGGGCAGGTACATCATCAGTTAAGTGTGTGTGTGAGAGAGAGAGCGAGCAAGTGCCTGATTGCTTAATTGATGAATTTCTAAGGCGTTCCAAGCAAGTTTTCAAAACTGGGTTCGGGGGGAGGCCCTGACCCAGGCGGGCCGGGTGAGCAGGGTGTCTAGGATAGGCGGTGGCCTCAGGGAATGGCCCCACACGAAAGTCCGTTGCTTGAACTGAGCTGCTGGGCCAGACGTGGGAAGTTCCCTAGACCGCGTGGCCACCAGCAGTGCGGAGCTGGGAGCGGGGCTGCCTGTGTTCCCGTTCAGCCGCGTCACCCGAGCTGCTGGGGCTCTGCACCGTCTCCTCATCCGAGGTGACAGCGGCACATGCCTGGCAGGGTGGTTGGGGAGATAAACGAGTACCACGTGTCGAAGTGTCGACAAGCGTCCCGTGTGGAGTGGGCCCTTGAGAAATGCGAAAGCGTTACTGTCACTGTGGAACCTGCAGGCTTCGTGGCTCAGTTAATGGAAATGTTTATTTTCTGAGAATAAATTTACAAATGAGCGTACAAGTTGCCTTTTGGCATCACTTCCTTCCAGAAGGCTCCCTGGCAGGTGTGGCGCCCGCTCCCAGTTTCCACGCCCACCCCCGTATGCACACTGTCTCCGCTGCGGGCAGAGCTGGGTCTCCCCAGCTGGCCGCTCAGCTCGCTGGGGCCGGGGTGGGGGTGGATGGGTCTGCATCACCGGTACCGCGGGCGGGGCATCTGGTCTCAGAGGCTCCTGAGTTCTGGGGGTGACGGGGGACCTTGGAGAGGAGTGTGCAGTGCCAGAATGCTGAAGGTGAGAGGACCCAGGTTCAGGTTCTGGGCGGCCTCTCTGGTTCCAGCCTTGTCCCTCTCTCTAGTCCGTAGAAGGGTTACCGTGTGAGGTGCGGTGAACGCGCGTTGTCCTCCGCAGGGTGCTGGGTGGCGCAGCCGTCAGCGTGCCCGTCGGCTCAGGGGCTGTTCTGTTAGGCACGTGCTGTGTGGTGCTGTCCTCGGAGCAGCACCAAGGTGGTGAGGTCTAGGGTGGCCCAGTTTTCGTGCGCTTTCCACCAGACTGCTGTTCCAACGCTGCAGATGAGCGGCTGGCCTTCAGGCCCATGTTGTAGGAAAGTGTGCTCTCTTCAACCTGGGGACTCCCTTTCCCCTGCCCAGCGGCACAGTGGGTGGGTGCTCCCAGACGTGCCCCCCCACCCAGGGCTTCCCCGGGACCGGCTGGGCTCTGCCCCTTCTCCTGGGCACTAGCTCATTGTGGGTGAAATCGCTTGCACTGCTTACACAATTATTTCTCTCTCACTTACTCTCAGTTTTAATTGTGGTTAAATATGCAGAGCATACAATAGACTGTTTTAGCAAGTACTAACCGTACAATTCAGTGGTATTAGGTATGTTCACAGTGTTTGTTCCGTCTTCCTCTCTATCCATTTCTAGAACTTTTGTCTCATCCCAAAGAGAAACTCTGTACTCACTAAACACTTAACTCTTCATTCCTGCTGGTAACCAGCCCCTGGCAGCCTCTATTCTACTTTCTTTCTCTATGAAAGTAGTTTATTGACTATTCTAGGTACCTCATTTATGTGGAATTATGTGATATTTGTCCTTTTGTGACTGTATTATTTCTTACTTAGCATAATGTCCTCCAGATTCATCCATGAATCATCATTCATCATTCATCTAGCTTGTGCCAGAATTTCCTTCCTTTTTAAGACTAAATAGTACTCCACTGAATGTGTAAATCATCCTTTTAGGAAGACTGGTTCCGGGACAACCCCACAGATACCAAAATCCATGGGTGTTCAAGTCTGTTATATCAATGGCGTAGCATTTCCATATAAGCTGTGCATGTTCTCCTGTATACTTTAAACATCTGTAGATTACAATTGATACTGAAGTCTATGTAAATGATATGTAAATAGTTGTAAATATGATGTAGATGATATGTAAATAGTTGCCAGGCACGTGACAGATTCCAGCTTTGCTTTTTGGAACTTTCTGATTTTTTTTCCTGAATATTTTTGATCTTCAGTTGGTTGAATCTGAGGATGTGGAACTTAGGATACAGGAGGACTGACTGTACCCTATTTCATTACTTCATTCATCTGCTGATGGACACTCAGGCTGTTTCCACCATTTGGCTCTTGTGAATAGCACTGCTATGAATATTGGTGTGCAGAGACTGCTCAAATTCCTGCTTGCAGGTCTTTTGCAAATATGCCTAGGAGTGGAACTGCTGGGCCGTATGGTAGTTCTATGTTTAACCTTTTGAGAAACTGCCAAGCTCTTTTTCACAGCAGCTGTACTGCTTTTCTGCCCACTAGCAATGCACAGAGGTACCAGTTTTTCCACATCCTCAACACTTATTTTCTGTTTTTAGAGAATTATATCTATCCTTGTAGATGTGAAATCCTCTCACTCTCTTTTTCATCAAATAAGAAACCGTTGTTAGGACCAGGTGAAGTGCATCTACGAAAAACTCTTTTAATTTTGCTTTTAATATATGTGACATAATGCAAATAAATGCTGGAAACATTCTTTTAACATTTTAAAGCAATACAGGGAGAGCAAAAGTGTCCTTTGTCTCTGTCCCCGTTTCAGGCTCCTCCCCAGCCTGTTGTTAGGCAGTATCTTTCCAGAGTTTTCCATGCATTTACATTTCATGTGTGAGCATTTATGAAACAGTAGTTTTCCATTTTTTTAAATATAAAAAGCATGATACCACTTTTTCTTTTTCAGTTACTTGGGTCTTTTACAGAACAGCCAGGAGTCTTTCCAGGCTGTTTGTAGATCTATGCTGTTCTTGCATTTTTATTTATCCCATAGTACAGGTGTCTTGTACTTAAAATTTTTGTTACTAACCACAGACCGTTGTTCGTCTCACATGCCCCGCTGTGCTGACATCATGAGCGAGCGCTGGCCATTGTTCAGCACAGCAGACCTTCTGCTGCGGCCCCTTATTTGCATCTGGACATCCGGCCTGTGTTTCCCTCCGACTCAGGCCTCTCTGAGCTAGCCCCAGGGGTCGGCTTCCTGCCGACCACGCCTGCTCACCTTCCATGTTTCCGCTTTTCAGGCCAAGAACAAGGAGACGGGTGCCTTGGCCGCGGCCAAAGTAATTGAGACCAACAGCGAGGAGGAACTGGAGGACTATATCGTGGAGATCGAGATCCTGGCCACCTGTGACCACCCCTACATCGTGAAGCTCCTGGGTGCCTACTACTATGACGGGAAGCTGTGGGTAAGCGTGCCTCCGCCTGCCTCCCCCAGCTCCCATGGTGATACCACCAGACCCTGCCCAGTTCTGAGGGCCTCAGCTCTTCCTCCGCTTCTGCTTTGAGGGCAGGGGCTGGAGTGCCCTCCCCTTTCTGCAGAGCCTCTCCCCTTCGGGGCCGAGCGTGGTGGTGCGGAGCCGAGAGGAGCCCAGAAGCTCCACTGCCAGGCCTCAGGTTATTAACTGCTCCTTGCCTCAGTTTCCCTGGCTGTGAGATGGGGATGATGAGAGTACCTAGCGCACTGAGTTGTTCTGGAGATGCAGTGAGCTAATTCATGCTTGGGAGAACAGCTGGCGCATGTCAGAGCTCGCTGAGTGTGAGCTGTTTCATTATTTGCTCTGGTGGCATCGTCACTGCGCTGTGGCAGCTGCTCCAGGGGGCTTCCTTTCAGTGGCAGCACTAAAGGGGGCCCTGTAATAACCCCCACTCTCTGGCTGCAACCCCATATTTTAAGATGCACAGTGCAGATGCATCAAAGCCCCACCTTCCCAACTCAGCATCCCCCTTGGAGGAATTCTGGGGTTCCCTGGTTTTCAGAGCCTGCCCTGCGGAATGGCTCCCCCATTGACATTCTTCTAGCCTCTCAGTTTATAAAACCCAAACTTCCTAGAAGGTACATCTTCCATACTCTCTTTTCAGCCAGTATTGTACCCATCAAACATCATATTTGTGACTGCCGAGCTCAGCCGAACATTCTTAACAAAATGATGTGCAGGAAATCTCATGAATTAATAGATGCAATTGGAAAACTGTCAGACTCACCGGTAGACGAGGGAGCAAGTGTCAGAGGGCCCGGGCCTCTGGGAGGGAACCAGCTCTGCGCCAGCAGCCCAGGCTCGTGGAGCCACAGTGACCGGTTGTCAGTAATGATTTGGTGGTCAGGAGGGGATTTTTCTTTTTGTTTGTTTGCACATCTTGTGGGATCTTATTTCCCTAATCAAATGTGAAACCTGGGCCAGTGGCAGTGGCAGTACTGAGTCTTAACCCCTGGACCACCACGGAGTTCCCAGGAGAGAATGTTTTAAGCATTGGACCTCCTATCATGATAGTTTATCATGTATAGGGAGAGTGTTAGATACATTTTAGGAAATTATTGGGCAGTCTGAGTTGTTATGTCATGCTTTATAATTTTTCCCACTTGAAATAATGGGAAATAGACACCAAGTTGATTCTTGGAGTCAGAATGCCTGATTTTTAGGAACAGAGCTACTGATGCTTAATGGGGAAATCTGTGTTTCATTTGAGAAAAGGATCCTGTTATTTAAGAAAACCAAAGGAGTGGTTTAGAAACCACTGTCAAAGTTCATCCCTCTCATTTCAGAGAAATGAGGAAAGCCAGTGTCTGAGGGGGATGAGAAACTTGGCTATCTACCAGATAGTGGACCAGAGCTTTGCCCACTAAAACTGGTTGCTCGCCGGCTGAGGCCAGCTTCCCTTTGCTTCTCTGAGCATCTCCTTGGGGAGTCTTCTAGATGTCACTGGGAGCAATAAAGCCACCATCACCTGACTATCAGCTGAAGATTTCAAAGCTCTTCCTCCTTCACTGTCTCTGGCACCTTGGAAGGTGACCCAGGCGGGGAGGAGGTGACAGAGAGGGCAGGCGCCTTGCTTGTGGACACACAGCTGACACAGTGGATTTCTTCTGTCTTGATTCACGGAGCTGCTTTTTAGAAAGTTTTTATTCTTTTAAGAAATTAAAATTTTAAATACATGGTTATCAGAAAAATGAGAGTATACAGAAAAGCAGAAGATTAATGTCACCCGAATCTTTACACCAAAGATAATCATTTTACATAATATAATAAATTTTTCTAGACTTTTTCTATATATACCCACAGGTTTTTTTTTTTTTTTTAAAAGATGAACTTATACCAGACTTGCTACTTCACTCTTACTCTTTTTGTTTAAGATATATTAAGAACGACTTTTCATATTTTAGGGAAACACCTGCATCTTCATCTTTTCTTTTTCTATAGAATTCCATCTTCTGACTATTAAGCAGTTAGGCTGTTGCTTTTGTTTTTTATTGCTGTTATAAACAAGTCTGTGATGGACATCTTTGAAATTTTTGTGTTCTTGCTTGAGAATCTCTTTAGGAGAATTTTTAAGATTTTTAAATGTCTATCGCCATACTGGCCTCACAGAGCCACTTTTGATACACAGTTGAGTTTTTCCATCTCACCACCTACCCACAACACACACACCCATCCATCTATCCATCCAGCTCTCCATCTAGTCAGCCTTCATTGGATTGCTAATTACATACGCATTGAGAAAAATATCTTTTATATATCTGTTCCCATTATTGTTTGTGGCAGTTTACCAAGTTCATTACTTTTTCAAGTCCAGAGATAACACCAATAGCAGCTAATATTTATTGAAGGCTCACTGTGTGCTGGGCCTTCTGCTGTGCATTTTACTCACATTATGTCATTTAATCATATTCTTTGAGGCTGTTGCTTTATCTTCATCCTACAGATGAAAGTGAGAAAGGAAGATGCTAAGTCAGTCTTCCCCCTCCCCTGCTAGGCCACACAGCTAGAAAGTGGCAGAGCTAGAAAACCCGATGGAGGAAAAGGACAGTTTGTAACTGGACAGTGACTGTGGTGAAGTTGGTTAAATAGATACACCAGAATTTTCTGTCCCAGGGTTGTCACTTTAGGCAGGTACTTTCTTATCCAGGGCTGCTGCTGTGACCAAAATACTTTCTCATCCCTTCTTCTGTGGCTGCCCCCACAGCCTACATTTGTTACTTTGTAGACCTTTAAAGGTGTTACCTCTCATTTTTGATTTGGGTTTTAGTAGGCATTGTGAAATCAAGGAAGGTGGCCCTGGGACTGGGTGGGTTAAGAAGGGCAGAGGATTTCAAGCAGGGTCAGCCTGGGCCGAGGTGTGGAGGTGGGAGAGCTCTGACATGTTGGGATCCTGGGTATACTAGGATTGGTGGGTCTACCAGCATGTTGTAAAAAATGAGGGCGGTTGTTGGAGGCAGGGTTGTGGAGGGCCTTGAAGGCCAAGGAGAAGGTTTACACTTGGTCTTTTAGATCAGTGGTTCTCAAAGTACAGCCTTTCAGACCAGTAGTAGCGGCAGCAGCAGCACCGCCGACCTTGTTAGAAATGCTGAATATTAGGTCCCAACTCAGAGCTGCTGAATCAGAAACTCTGGGAAGGGGCCCTGCCATCTGTTTTAAGGAGCCTTCTAGGTACTCTGATGCTTGTTGAAGTTTGAGAACTATTGTTGAAGGTAATAGGGACCCAGTGGCAGATTCATGGGGGAGAGACACACATTTAGAAAGAAATCAGGTTTGAGGGGGCAAGAGTGAGTGCACCCAGGCCGACCAGGAAGTGGTCAGAATGGACTAGGCCAGGAGTCCAAGGATGTGAGATGGGAACATCATTGGTCAGAAAAGGGTTTAGAGGAAGGAACATTTGAACTGGATCTTAAGAATGCGTAGGAGTTCTGCAAGGGGTAAGAGAAGGAAGGGCAGTCTGAAGCAGCGTGGACGGAAGTGTGGAAGAGAGGAGTCTCCTTCTCAAATACTAAGTTAAAGGGCACCAACTTTTTGGTGTTTCCTTCTGTGAGATGATTCTTGGCCCCATCTTGTGGCCTGGCTCAGGTCTTCTATGTGGCTCCAGGGGCCAGCTTTTCTGTGTGGGTGTCTTTTTGACAAAATCAGCCCTGACCCGGGGTCTGCTTTCAGGGGCTGGGCTTTAGGATGAGAAGCTGACTGTTGCCCTCACATTCTGGGTGTCTTGCCTGGCCGTAGCGGTCGGGACGGACTTTTCCCAGGTGGGGCGGAGGTCACTCACCAAACCACCCCACCTGTAACCTGACAAGATTGACTCATTTTCTTCTAGAGTTTGTAATCTTGGCAAAACCCTTCTCGTGGTTTCTTATGATCACTTCTGCTTTTGAATACAAATGGTGCAAGTGTTATTCTAAACTAGCACTATCCAATAGACATATAATGCGAGCCATATGTATAATTTAAAAATTTGTAATTACTGCATTAAAGCAAAAAGAAACTGATGAAATTAAGTAATATGATTTATTTAACATAGTATATAAAACATTATCATTCTGACATGTAGTCAATAAAAAAAATATTGATGAGATATTTTAGTTGTTTTCCATTTGAAGTCTTCAAATCTAGTATGTGTTGCACACTTACAGCACATCTCAATTTAGGAGCTACAGTTTCATCAGAAAGGTTTCCTCTGTATTTAGATGTCATGAAATTTCCGGATGAAAAAGTAGATTCCTGTCCTCAGGTTGTTACAGTGTTCTTAAATGTATCCCAATAATAGAGTCAAATATCAGTTTTTAAATTTAAATTAATTAAAAGGGAATGGATTGATACATACAGTTCTATATTAGCCACGTTTCAAGTGCTCGAGAACCACATGTGGTTCTAGCCACATAGTGGCTATTGCATTAGACAGTGTGGACCATGCAACTCTGGATGTATACCTAGGCCTCGCAAATAGGCGAATGCGGGAAACCCTGGGCTGATCTCATGAATTTCCTTTGGTTTATAACTGCCCCTCCCCAGTCCCCACTCCTTGCCCTGACCAGATGTTGATGTCTGGAAAAGCCTTTCAAGGTTTGGATCTCTTTTCCTACACGGAAGTGGGAATGGCATGGTGGTAAATGTTTAACAGTCAGCTCTCTGGAAAGAACAGCCCTAGTTGATATCATCTGCCAGTTTCTGTGGTGTAAATATTCCCATGATCAATTTCAAACTCAAACAAAATGTCACTAACAGAGATGTAGGACCACTCCATGATGAAGTTATTTCTGCCATACAGATATGACAGATTTAAACAACTTCAAGAGTAGAGATAACAGTAGAATGTGCTATAATAATTAGAGAATTGATGAGTTTAGAGTGTTTATCATCTTGGTTGTCTTTAATACAATTTTTAAAATAACAAGTTTACCTAACTTAATTTTAAACATAGATTA